GACCAATCAGGTGTTTTAGTAAGGCAAAGTTAACACAGCTTCATGGAGTTAAACAAATGCAACATATCTTTGCAGCATCAAACACATATTCCATAACATAAACTATATTCCCAAACATATTTGTTTATAGATTTTCTTCTCTCTTGGCCCCAGATGATAATGGACATATTTATTCAGTAGTAATGCTCATTTTTAACATTTAGTGCCAAATATAATTAGCCTATTTTTTAAAATCAAATTCATTTTCAAAGAACAAAAAGCTGACAAGTTAATCTGAAATAATTGTGAAGGAATTCGATTCACACTCTAAAAGCAATTTTAGAGTCTATTTGAGACAATAAGAATAATGTTGGAACAGATGTATAATGAATGTCACTTGAAGTATAGTTAAATTAAAATTCAGTGGAATTGGTGGTTTCCACCCCTATGCTTTTATGTCAAGCTATTGCTCAAATTACCAAAATGGTCAGGCATAACATACTGAAAGACATGCTGAGAATTTAGTCATATTCTTGATTATTTTAAACTAAACGAAATTCTTTTCATTGAAAAATGATGTTCTTGTCATTTTGGTAATCTAATTTTTAGGTTGCTATCACTCTCCCATCTTACTTTATCTATAAAAATGCATCTTTACAATTAAGACTAGGAATAATTTAAAATATTTATCAATACCCACATAAAGTATTATCTTATTTAGTACCACATATTTTTAAATTTGTAAATTTAATATTTAAAAGATTAAAACAATAAAAGTGTAAAAAACTGGCTTTGGGTAACAAAAAAGTTTGCTTCACTCAGTACAGCAGAGAATTCTGACCCTGTTCACAATTTTTGTGCCTCATGATATTCCTTCCGAACTACTGATACATATGAGCTCACAGTCAGCAAAAGAGATGTTGCTTCATTGTATAACTGTAATTTTTGTTTTTTGGTGACTACTCTTAACAGATCATTTTTAATTTATTTTATAAAGCCCATATCTGTTATGTGAAAGGCAATTTGTCATAAATATCAAAATGTATCCTTGACAATTCCTCTTAGCATGGCTTAGCTCTATAAGCTTAAGACATTGAGATATGTGAAAAGATTATTGTGATTTATGCTTCAGTAATGTCTTTCACAAAAGTATTTTCTTTCATATTTTAAGTCTATGATTTAATCGTATTTGTTTTTATGTAATCAGTTATACTGTAGCTTTACTGGTTTGTCTTTTACCTAATATATATTAGTATTTCACTCTTTAAAGAAATTTAAAGTATTTACCATTAGAAGCATCTTAACAAATGACAGTGTTATCTTTAGAGAGAGAGGTATAGCTATAAATATCTCCCAGTTAACTTTTTAGCTTTAAAAATGGGTTGGTAAAAACCATTCTCTACATCATGTGTTATGATAGGGAAAAGGATGTGAAACATGTCTCCACTCAAGTTTCTATCAAAGTTGATTTGTGTCTAATGAATGTCAAGGGGGGAAGAACAGAACTGTTACCAATAAATTGCAGTGACCTTTTTCCTCTTAATTAAGAGGCATAGTGAGATTAACTGTGGTCAGTTAGTCTCAAAGTTAAATATATACAATGTTATTTTCAGTAGAATGTGAAACCAAAATAAACTCTATTTTCTCCAAATATAAGGAAATGAATCCAATATTTTTGAGTATCTATTCCACCAACTACAATATAGCTTTTGAATCTATATTGCCTCCCTTATAATAATTGACAACATAACTTTGTACTTTTAACATGCTGGAATAAAATGCCTCTGTGCACTTTCTAAATAAATGCCAATAAGTTAGACCTTCTCAAACTTGAAAGGCAATACCATCAGGGTAATTGAAATTCCATGTGGTCGCTGTTTTGAACGCTTACATCCTTTATCTATGTGCATTTTTTTTCTGGTTACTCTTTATCACAGTCTAAGCTACAAGAGGTCTGTCTCCTCATCGTTTTCTCATTTCTACTTTTGTTCAATCAAATAAAATCTCAATACAGAAATTTATTACTGGAAAGAGTTCTTTGTCGTTTCCATTTAAAAATAATTAACTTTCACATTTAGTAGCCAGAGTCACCTAAATCTTATATTTGCCTCTAATTATTTGTATAACTGGCAACAAGAGGAACTTAATGAAGGTCTTCAATGTGAGAATGTTTTAAGCTCTACACAAATATGGAATTGGTTCATGAAGACCTTTCCTTTGTCACGGGATTGGAAAGAACAGTGGATTGAGCACCAAAGATGATGCATGCAATTGTTTGTGCCCCCAAATATGGTCCCTAAAAGAATCATGCCTCCATAACTAGATATATGGCTTCTTAACTTTTTAAAAGAATTTGGAGATAAGGTTCTGAGAAAACTAAATCAAAATGCTAAATACAACCAACTCTTGATTATGCAAACCAATCCATAGAATTTTATATTATTTACAGGTAAAGCTCAGTAGAGGCCTAGATTTACTGTTCACCTTCCTCCGATTATGATTACCTCAGAATGTGGTTAAAGCTCCACAAAAACCTCCTTAGGATGTATATAAAGAGGTCAGTACTTATAATTGGTTTTGACAGAGTGTGCATGTGAGTGAGATGGGGAATGAATGTGTGTGCCTATAACTCTAGGGCTCTTACATGCATGCTGAACACCAAGGAAATTCAACTCTAGGATCTGGCTCTCCTTTTCTTATAGGTTGAGGCAATTCTCAGAGGAACTTCTTTTATTGAGGTAGATACTAGTTTTGTGAAGAAAAATATTAGCCCAGCCCACAGGATCCAAAATTGATTACACCTTTGTCTCTATGCACTTTTTAAGGATCTATTTCTAGTGCCACTGCTTGATTAAACAAGAGATGGCAATATTCACATTGATGTATGTATATGTATATATTTCATATATACACACACACACACACACACACACACACATATATATATATAT